GGCGCCGTCCCCCGGGGGCCGCCGCGTCCCTCGGGCCCCGCGTGCTGGAGGGGGCGGCCCCGCCTCGGCAGCCACCGGCCCCGCGCTGCCTCCGCCGCTGCGTGTCGGCCGGTGCCGCGCTGCTGTGCAGCGCTGCGCGGGCGGGCGGGAAGGCCCCAGTGCTCAGCGTTTCAGCGGGGCACCCAGAACACGCCCTTACAACAGGCCGCTGTACCAAAGACCCCGGCTTTTCTAATGAAAAAAGCTGCCTTCGTCGTCTGTGGAACACCCTGTTTATGGCCCAAGAAGGCCTGTGGGCCAGGGGTTATTTTTTGTCGCGTGAGGGTCCCCGTGTGTTCATAGAGCAAAGGTGAAGCAGTTGTCACCTGCAGCCCCGGCACTGCTGTCATGGGACTGTGTTTTCAGAGGTAAAATCATAGATGAAATGGGAAGTAAGGGGCTGGCTGGCCGATTTTCCACAAGTGGCTTTTCACTAAATAGAACATGTCAAATGTGCTGTTTTCTTTATATAAATAAGGATAAAAAAAAAAAAGTTTATGTTGTTGGACAGTTTTGTGGTCTTCATTGTTTCTTTTGGCAAATCTGAACACTTCCTTGTCTCCCCCCCCCCCCCCTTTTTGTTCATAAAAATGAAAATTCAGGCTTTCTGCTATAATACTTTTTTCATTCATGATGTGTATTTGTTTTGAGTTGTAAATCAAACTTTAAATCAAGCAGTTTTTCCTTCTTTATGTCTTCTGTTGTATTTCTTTGTAATATCTTCACTACTTTTGCCACTAGTATTCTTACTGCATGCAGAGCTCATTATTTGTGTTATTTAAATATTGGTCATTTGTTCAGTGAGTAGTCACAATCCTTTAAAATACTTTTTGTAACTCTTATGTCTTCATGCTGATATTGTTCCCTTTACAGTTAATACCTTTCCATTGCTGTAGTAGTCTATGCAATATTCCTGCTTCATGATGCCATATAAACAGATGCAAGAACTGGTTTTAGCCTTGGTGATTTCTCTGTTTAACTGTTGTCTTTTTAGCCTGCATTTTCTAAGAAGTCTAATTTGTTTTATAAACTAGTTTTAAATGGCATTATTATTCTTTGATTACTGTAAACTCATGTTATGATTTTAGTACTTCATGTAGCTAAATAGAATTGTTTTTTCCAAACAATCAGAAACTACAAGATCTTCCTGCACTACACCAATTTGGAAGGAAAAACAGCCACCTGAGGAGCTTTAAAAAAAAAAAAAAGTTGGCTTTTTTTTTTAATCAAGGCAAGTGTCAAATACATTTTTTTTCTATTTACTATCTTAGCAAAGGGAAGAAGGAAGTAATTTACACTATGCATCATGAGCTAAATTGTTACATAGTGTGGAAGATAAAGTTACAGACCTCAAGAATAGCAAGTTTTCAAGTGGAGGATTCGTTGAGCTTTTATTTGGATAGTTTTGATTTTTCTGAAGTGCTTCTGATTGCCAACTAAGTGAATACTTTGCAGTCTTTGGGTCCTTTAAAGAACAACCAAATACCTCTTTACTGTAAAACTTTCCTATAACAATAGTATAGCATGGCCAAAAGGAAGGGAAAAGAAAAATGTTAAATAACAGTTCTGTGACTCCTCTGACCTTGCTCTTTGTAACCATCAACAAAAGTGAAAGCAGTCCTGGTTGTGGGATTTTTTTTTAAACTGGTCCTTCTGATATGAGACACATTTGTGGTTTTCTCATTTATTTTCAGAACAGTTAGAAAATGTGTGTTCATATCTAAGTTTCCGAAGTTAAAGTATGAATATTGATTTCATTTCAAGTATCTGTGTGCCCATGATAGTTAATCAACATGACTGTTGCTGTCCTTTTCCCAGGGTGGGAAAGACAGCTGCAGGGAGATGCAAGACTTTCAGGAAATACAGTTCATAATCTAATGCAGAATTTTCTGGGAGGGAGAACACATTGCTGAATCACTGGATCTTATTCTGTCTGTTGTTTCACTCACCCCTGAGCATTCCTTCCTCCCAGAAATAGTTTTGAACTTAAGAGAAAAAAAAATCTAATTCTGCAGTCTTAACATACCTTCCATTTTCATACCCAAGTCATGTCACAGAATTTGAATTGGATTGTCCTTGAGGACCCCAAATGCTAGTAATGATTTGGTAGATGTAATGATAGCTAATGATAATGTAGTGTAGTTGGTGATAGCTGTAACTGTGTCACAGAGTATTTCTTCATGCCTTTTCTGCCCTTGATAGCTTATCTATCAAGCTGATACCAGCAATAAGATATTTAGTGCTCTGTAAGTTGGTGCACTTGTGAGTGAGGGATAGTACCCATTTCATGAAGAAAGAGGCTTCATGTCTAATTTTGGGAGCATTTCCTTTTTTAGAAATGGAAATTGTAATACTGTAAGCATACAACTGAAATGTTACAAGAGAACCTGTCTGCCTCTCCTGTTAATTTGGGAGTTGAAGACTATCCAAAATCTTCTTTACTAGAGAGCAGTTTCTATTTTAAACTTGCTTAAGGAGATCATGTTTAAGCCAAGAAGCTATTCTCAATAATAAACAATATCACTTCCATTATATAAAATGTATAATGAAGCTGCACGTATCTTGCAGTTAGTTGCCGTTCTATGTTTTAAAGAGTTACTGTCAAAATAGAAAAGCAAGCTACGTGTTATCAACAGGTGCAATTTTCATTTCTGGTGCAATGTTATAATTAGAACTAATTCTGAAGTCATGCAAATTTCTGGGTAGGTTTCAATTATAGAATATAATTGAAGAGATATTTTTAAGTTGAATTTACGAGATGAGGGCTCTGTGTGTGTGTATATATGCATATATACAAAAAAAATCCCCACAAATTTATTATTGGAGAAACATTCATGATCGTGATAGGAGAAAATATGCTGCTGCTTCTCTGTCCGGTGTCCATTAAATTAATGTGAGTAATGAACTAACTGGAAATGTACTCATGTAGTATGAGTATTAGCTGTGAGGGAAGTGAGCTGCTGCGGGAATGGACAGTGCAGGATGTCATAAGCTCTGTGTACTTCTGTAGCTTTATAGTTTTCTGTTTTATTTGGAATCCATAAAATTCTCCATTTTTCCCTGTGATATCACTTCGCTGTACCTAACATCCCATTTCATTATGTCTCCTTGATGAAAGCTGCCTTCTTCCTGGTTTTTTTCATTCAATGCAAAGCTTAATGATTTGCAACTAAACACTAAAAGGATGGGAGCTGAGGTGAAGCCCGTACTCCAGAAGTGTGTCCCAATGGTCTTCAGGTCTTGCTTAGCTATTTTTCAGTATTGGCTACTTAATGTGTTCCTGTCTCAAAGTGGTAGGTTTTTGTTGGCCTGCCTATATTTATTTCTAAGATGCATGAAGAGAGTGTAAAAATTCCTGTGACCAATGCGAAGTATTAGGATGATCTAATAATCTTCTATAAGCTCAAGCAACTGAGGGAATTGTTAAACCTTGCTGGGAAGCTAAAGAGGACCTGTTTGGCCGGGGGGGGGAACCACTAAAACCCAGACTGAGCACAAAATACTTTTTAAAATAGCTATTGTTAAAAGTAAATATACTAAGGTTTCTCAACACTGCTTAAGTAAATCCAGTGTTAGTAAGCCTTATAAATACATTTTCAGTGTTCCCCTTGATCTAATTGCAATTGAGCAGGTGCCAAGAGAACTTTAGTGAAGTGACATATGCATAATCAGTGTGTCAGCTAGTACAGTATGTTCTGCTTGATATTTACTTACTGCACTGCTCTCACATTTCAAAATCAAGTCAACAATAAACGCTAACATTGCTCTCATAGTGAGCATGCCAAGTAGTAGCAGCTCCCTGCTTCATGTACCCTTTGGTCAGGAACCTGATGCGGTGCGATTGTGTATCTGACTTGAAGGTTACTGCCATGCTTGTTGTTGGGGAAAGGGAGAAGAATTAAAAATAACTCCTGATAATACCAATTTGATTCAGGGTAAAGGATAGAGATAATCATGCTTAATAAAATATACTCAAGGAAGGGGCGTGCGTGGAAAAAGAACAGCCCTTATACTTTGAAGCGTCTTAGTTCTTGGTAATGATGATGATACCACGCTTTTACATAGAGTCATAACTGTTAATCTTTTAAAATCTCAATTGTAAATATTTCACTTGCAGAGCCACAACAATTGGCTCTTTTATTATTATTATTTTTTAAAGATTAATTAGATGTAGAGAAGCTTAAATAACTTCTGGACACACCAAGCCTATTCCCTGAAATTGCTTGGTACTTGTAAACTACAATTTGTTTTAATAATAAGATTGTTATTTTTCATAAGCTAAATAATATCTTATTACTGTAAGCAACTACATGGAAGTTGTAATAAAACTCATGCCTGGTGGATGTGAACATGTTTTTTGTCTCTTCCTGATCAGCACACCATGCAGAGGATGATGCTGATCTTGAAAAGATGCAGTTTATAAGAAATATTGTGTTACTGAGCTCCCATGATCTGATTTATGGGTTGAGAATAGCTGAATTATGTCTTACCTCTAAGATGAGAGTGAATGGAATGTTCTGTTTATCGTGTCACTGTTCAGTTTTTCAGTCTGTAAAAACATAAAATGTATGGGAAGCCAGCATAAAGCTATAGCAAAAAAGAAGTTTTTGACTTTGTTACATTTATTGTCCTATCAAACTTTTTTTCCCCCCTCCAGAACACAGGATGAGTTGTGATAATGCAGAACTTTAAAAAAATGGTGTTTAAAGTAGACCGTGTATGGTCTATGTATGATACAGAGGTCATTAAATAATATGCAAGAACAAAGGAATGGAAACCAAGGGGAGACCTCTGTGTCTCTCTTTTTATTTCTATCACTAAGGGCTGGGGGTGAGAGTAAATTACAGAAAATGGCTGAGTAGGTCGTCTAAGATTTACATCAGTGGTTCTTATGCCACAGGTGAAGAGAGTTTTTTCTGCAGTACTCTGATTTTAAAATTAATATAAACAAACAAATTATCATATAAAAATAAAAGGTTGAGTTTTGTGCACTGCTTCTAAACTTTTTCTTTGTGCAAAATAGAAGTTAAGATACTGCTACTTCATACACCAGAGCATTTTTTCCTCCAACATATGTGTTGAAAAGGAGTTTCTGTACTTTGAAAGATGTAAGGTAGACTTCTAGAGGAAAATATTTTACTCTCACAAAAAAAGTAGTGTGCAGCTCAGATTGAATAAGCTTATTTTATGAATGCAGTGTAGTAGCAACTTATAAGGTCATTTGAGATCTTCATGGAAACAGTGTTAGAAGATTCAAAATAAGAATTTATAAGGAGATAAACATTAAGCTTTTACTTGCAGAAATTGTTGATTTGTCCAGATATAAACATATGAAAGCTTACAATACATATTGCTACCTGTAATTACTGTTTTTTCCCATTCAAAAGTCATTTATCGAAGTCAGACTTATAAGTTGGTCAATGTATTTTATTCAGTAGCTTTTTTTAATTTGCTAAGCTTCTAAAATAAAACATAAATGCACCCTATAAATCATTACATTACTGTCAAAATGTAATAATTACACATTGCTACACATGCAAGGACCGGCACAAATAATTAAAGCCCTTCCTATCATGTAGTCATGTATCCATGATTACATAAAGTAAGCATGCCGGTTCTCCAACATTGTTTTCTCAACTTGCTTATTGGTTTAATTATCTGTGTTGTTTTGGCAAAGGATGCCGTGATCCTGCAATGCACTGTACTTCCCCTTCTCTTCCTTCTGAACCTTAAAAAAGATCTTGTCCTTCCTGTGGTGAAGTCTGCTATTATATTAGTAAATGTCATAATTGTATCATGTGTCTTGATCTTACAGACATTTTAGTCAATATTAATGCAGATATTAAGGGGAAAGAAGAGTAAGAATAAAACTCATGGTCCAATTAATGCTTGGTAGGTTTTTTTAGATGTCTTTAGAGTTAGATTTTTCTTGGCTTTTTTTTGTTTTTGTTTTGTTTTTAAGTGTCTCCAGAGTGAATGCTTCTGTTTGCATAAATGCAGCTGTCAAAGGGTCAGATTTTGCGTGTGTGTGTGTGTGGTGGAACATAGAGCTGAAATCTCCAACAAAAATGCTGACTATAGGGAGAGTATTTGGGGGATTGTGTATGTTATATGTATATAATACTCATGGCCAGTTTTTGTTTTGCTTATATCTTACTGGTATAAAGCTCATACCAGCAGTGGGCATAAGTAGCTATGAGCTGCAGGTTGTTTTGTCTGTTTTTTTTTAAATGATGCTCCACTAATTACAAGTTATTTAGATGTTCATTTATTTTTGTCTCTGATGGAGGGACCACACTACAAGTTTCTGCAGCTGGAACTATGCACAGGGATAAGAAATTTTCTGGTGAATGGTCTCAAGATCAAGTGCTAGCTCTGTTTCTAGTCTTGAGCCATCCCATCTCCCTGCTTGTCCCATCTCTGTGCCTTTTCAGACAAATCATTGGTAGTTTGTGGACAGTTGAGGGAAGAAAAGTATCCTTTGACCACAGAATGTTATGATTTGCCATGTCTGGCTGTATCTCATTAAATATGTTTCTCTCTGAGAACTGTTTTTTTTTTTTTTTTTTTGGTAAAGGATATTGTTGATTAAAGTAGTACACATAAGCAATATATGGGAAATCATGTTTCTGTCTGTCTGGTGCCTTACTGCAGCGGGCATATTAACAGTATCTTTTTCATATCTTGGGTGTTAATTTTTATGATGGTTAACTTTAAAGACTGTGTCATCTTGCCAAAATCGGTATCACCTTGCCCAAAATATCTGAGCTCAGATATTCCTGGCAAGTACAGAAGTCAATACAGATGACCTGGCTATTAAATACATCTCGTTCCTGCCAGAAGAAACTAAGCGTTCACTTTCAGTCTTGATATGTCTACAGTTCTGGTTCATTCCATGGAAAATTCATATCCAGTTCTTCTAGCTACATCATTATATCACAAGATTAGATATACTGTATTACAAATTCTGTAGTTAATCAAGAATCTTGACAAAAGTTATGTTTTTCTTCATGTTCTTTCCAGACTGCAGCTTTTAATAAAAGGTTTTATGTAAGATTAGGACCATCTTATGAGTTACACTATTGTGACTTTAAGTGTTTTGTATTAGCACTAATGTTTCTAATTTAGTCATATACTGCATGGAACAGTTACATAACAGCTGTACATGAGCACAGCTTCTGCTGAGTGAAACACCTTTGCAAGTAATATATCCAGCACTGCTGAAGAACTGATTTAGACACACCATTAGTATTATTGACAATATTTCCTGAGTTTTCCAGCTTTCCATGCTGTTACTTACTTCCATAGCATTATTACTGCTACAGTGTTTATGCCTGGTAGCTGACCTCATGAAGATGAGGAATAGAAATAGAGATATTGCAGCATTCAGATAGAAAACAGAGAAAGACATTGGTTAAATGCATTGGCAAAGTGTAGCCAAAACATGAAAGTGAGATAAGTGGTAGGGCTAAAGACATTCCGGCAGGAAGGAGAGAGGAGAAGAGGGAAGGGGCTGGCAGGGTCATGGGAGCTAGTACCTTTGCCAGAGTGTGCGTGCAGGGGAAGGGCTGTGCTGGATATGAGCAATACCTCCAATGAGTCCAAGCCACTGATCTTCAACATACAGCCCAGTAGTTTTGCAAAGTGCCACAATGAATCATCCGTTAGTTCATTTCATCAGATATTTTGCTAAGAGGAACGCAGAGGAATATGTCTGTACAACTTGAACACAAATCCGAAGCTTTCTTCTTTTAGATGATGATGTTGCCAGTTAATGCAGTGATCTGCAGAAGAAAAAGGTGATCATGGCCTTAGCAAGGGGGGGAAAAAGAAATAAAGATTCCAAATAGGGCTGTAAAATCTTGTAAATATGATCTGGCTTAGATTAGTACTAAATTCAATGGCTTAGATTAGTAGTAAATTCAGTGCACCATATGTTACATTTGGAAGTCTTTTTGTAGAGCTTTGTTCAGCCTCTGTTGTTAAATGATTTGTTAATTTCATTCTTGTAATGTTTGTTATTTACTAAATAGAGCATTTTAAAGCTCTAAATCAGATTTATATACTTATATGTAATGTGCTTTGTTTAGGAAGTCTGAAAGGAAGAGGAGAGCCCTGCCTATGAAGAGATGACGTGTAACGGCCCTGAAGACTCAGAGGCTTGTGCCACTTCAAACACAGGATGTGAGCAGGAATGGGCACAGGAGCACAGGCGGCTTGGGACCTTTGTGACATTTCCCTTTGATTGTCCAGTGTCAGCAGCAGCGCTAGCGCGAGCTGGCTTTGTTTATACTGGAGAAGGTGACAAAGTGAAGTGCTTCAGCTGTCATACAACTGCTGAAGGATGGGAGCATGGAGAGTCTGCCTTTGAAAGACACAAACGCCTTTCCCCAAACTGCAAATTTGTTATTGAATCAACTTTTCTGGAAAATAATATTCATCCTGTTGTCCAGAACCACCAAGATAGATCTGAAAATTGTTCCAGCAATTCAGCCATTTCCTATGCTTTAGATGACTCATCTGATGTTGAAGCTGATTACCTTTTGAGAACTAGGCAGGTTGTGGATATGTCAGATATCTTGTATCCTAAAAACCCTGCAATGTGCAGTGAAGAAGCTAGATTAAAGTCATTTCATAACTGGCCCATATATGGCCTGTTGGCACCAAAGGAATTAGCTAATGCTGGGCTTTATTATACAGGTGTGGGTGACCAAGTGGAATGTTTTTGTTGTGGTGGAAAACTGAAAAACTGGGAACCTAGTGATAGAGCTTGGTCAGAACATAAGAGACATTTTCCCAAATGCTTTTTTGTCCTGGGCCGGGATGTTGGAAATGTTCCAAATGAAGTTGTGTGTGCTGAGCTGGAGAGAAGTGCTCCGAGCGATGTGCAGCATCCAAGGAATCCATCTATGGCAGAATATGAAAGACGGCTACAAACCTTCCTAACTTGGAGATATCCTGTTAACAAGGAGCAACTTGCCAAAGCTGGATTTTATAGCATAGGTGAGCCAAATCAAAAAACTGTTTGATCTTTACCAGGATAAACTTCGTACTATATGACACCAATATCCTACAAATTTCTAGTTCTAGTGTCAAATGACTTGCCAGAACTCAATGCTTAGTTAAAAATTGAAACTCATTTTATTTGCTTGTTTTGTAAACCACCCAGAGTTGTTATTTTCATATTTTTAACTCATATAAAATTACATACATCTTATCAAGTATTTTAAAAGCGAAATATGACATTAGTCATAGATTATTTTTTTAGCATTAAACTTTTATTTTTCTTGCCTGTTATAAAACCGTCTCAGGCAGGATACCTTTCACAATTGGACTTAACATTAGAAAAAATAAAATGCTCTCCTGCAGATAATGTGCTCAGGTCCAAGAACTCAATATAGATTCATATATAGGTTCATATATAGGCCTTTGTGCAAGGCAGTGTAGACTGTATGTCATTTTCATTGGTTACTTACTATGTGTTTGATTTATCATAGCAACCTGACACTTAAAACAAGAGCAAATGCTGTTGTTACCTATTAAAAAAATTTAGGAAGAAATGACTTGGAGTTGGAAAGGTTTTAATCTTAAAAATATAGTATATGCCTTAGAATGAGTCTAATATTTGTATATTGATTTTATTTTTCCCTTCTGGAGATGGTGAATATTTCTATATTAGGCTTAATTGCAGGCTACAGATAAAGCTCTTTGAAATTCTTGACTGAAAGATGCTGGATAAGTGCAAAGTGTTACTAATATTAGGCTACAAAGAAAAAAAGGATTATCAAGGACAATTTCTTGCTCTTATCTTAATTGGCTTTTCTTTTAGTAGCTTTCAGGACTCTAATCTGATTCCATTTGTTTTACTTGTTGCACTGAATAAAGATGCTGATATAGCCCTGTATCGGCAATATATGGGCAATATTTGTAGCCTCTCATTTCAATAAACACAACATCTAAGCAGGTTCTGGTGCAGTCTTTAATTGCAGTGTGCATGGTGCCAGAACTGAGAGAATGTAATTTCTTCTAACAGCCTCTGAGTCAGTTACTGCCATGTGGAGTCCATTAATCTTAACAGTGAAATGGAGGACCAAAGAGGCATATAAACATCCCTTTTGAGTTCTGTTTCTATTAATAATTTCTACTCTTGCTTGCTTAACTCTGATTTAAATATAAAGCAGAAGACTGCTCATGAGGGCAGATAGAGCTGTATCAATTACTTTGAAATAAATTCTTTGTGGTAGAATACTTAATGGTTGTGTACCAATGGGATGTGCTCTCTGAGAATAGAATATTTTTAGCGTTCTATTTTTATATAATTGCTAAAACTGAATTCAGAAACATTTTATATGACTATTTTTTGAGCAGAAGGTTTTTCTGAACATTTGTCTCAGATCATATTTATTATACTCACATTTAAGAGTTCTTTTTAATTATTGCTAATTTTTAAAATAAATACTTTTAGTAATATAGAATTTTAATTGAAGAATTAGTTATGAATGCTAGAAGCATGGAACTTCACCCTTGTTTATTTCCTCAGGTAATGGTGATCATGTTGTGTGCTTCCATTGTGGTGGGGGACTGCAAGAGTGGAAGGAAAATGAAGACCCCTGGGATCAACATGCCAAATGGTTTCCTGGGTAACTTCTTTATACTGTATTTTCTTCTTGCATTTGAGTGTCACTTACAGTACATTTCAATGACAGAATGATCAAATAAAGACTTCAGAACGTTGATTATGGCTTAACGTAGGTTAGCTTCATGAAGAGAACTATTTATTTATTTGTAGTTACCTTCATCTTTTTTCATTCTCTTCTCATGCTTCCTTTTTGTCACATAGATACTGAAAACCGTGTTCTGTGTGGTAGAATACAGTTATCATCAGTGTTTAGATTTTTCCTTCTCAGTAAGAAGAAAATGTTTTAGGGAAGTTTTTGTGTGAGGTCTTTATTTTTGCTATTCCAAATATTCCACCTTGCTCTAGTCCTGCAGTTACATGTATGAGCATTAATATGTCCTTAAATGATACATTGGCAGTCTCAGAAGAGAGCACTAATTGAATATGATCTTTGACAGGTAGGTGGGAGTTCATCTAATGTGCGTGAGAGAGAAATAAATCCCAAGTGGTTGAGGGCACAACTAACTCATTAGAGGTAATCAAATTATGAAAGCTTGCTATGAAACTGTACCTTCAAAAATGCTTTACCTTTAAGCCACTATTGTATTTGTAACAAACCAGAATTGCATTTATAGCCTGTTTGTGGGAATTATTAAAGAGATTTTGTATCTGAGCCTACTGCTATCTTGTTTAGTAGAATAGTGAAGTTTTGTGAAAACAGGTTTTGCTTTGCTGCATTATCCAAACAAGATATTCTGATCATTATTCTACTAGCTTGCCAAAACTTTATTTTATATCGAGATACAAAATGACTAAACTTCCTTGGTTCAAACAAGCCTGAAGAAGCCAGTAGTAGTATTGAATTCAAAATGTGCTTCTAAATAATTTTAAAACACAAGAGGATTATAGATCTAGAAGTAACTTTTGGAAAGGTTGATCGTTGATACTAAATCATGAGAAAAGGAGTAGTAAATGACTCTATAAATCATTCTTCTGCTGGTGGATAGAAGTTGTCCAAGTGCAAAGTCTTAATTCTCATTTTTTTATATAAGTATCTCTCTGATGTAATAGTTAACAAATGTTTCTTCTGTGGTCGAAGATTTTCCAAAAGATGAAAGTCAATATTTAAGCATTAGCTTATTTATTTACATTTATTACTTTTATTTTTAATAGTGGTTCAAGCAGCCTTAAATTAGTCATCTCTCACAATTTGAACCATCTGTTCTTCCAGGTTTCTGGCTTAGTGATGTGAATGCTTACAAGATTATTTTGCTTCTCCTCATGCATGTGTAATTTTTGTTGTTAGGTTTTTTGTTCGTTTGTGTTATTATTATGCCAGATTTGATCACTTCCTTTCTTTCAAATCATTAACCACCTTAGAAGGAGGTTTTTTTTTCTATACATCAGCTTCAGTTGCAGCATTTCAGAGTCTCATAGCATTTCAGAATCTCTATGCATGTCCATGAGCTACTGAAGGTAAACTAACTCCTGAAGCTAGTGAGCCACTATTGAGAAGTCATGTCATTCTCTTAATCATCTTGTGGGGAAGAACCATGCCCAGTGGTTGGAAAATATCGAGAGAAAATAGATAAAGCACCTGCTTATTGTTGATTGTTTTTCATTGGCTAGAAAAGGATAAAATAACCAACATTTTAAAGTAATGTTACTCATTCATTGGTATCCTTACTTCTGTGGTATCCTACTTCTAAACCTGTGGCACCAGATGTAATGGACAACAACTGTTTAGCTTTCTGTTTCGTTAAAAATATGAAGGAGATGATGAAAATGGTTAATTTTTTTTACTTAAGGTGTTTATGGAAATGTTTAATCCACATTAATAATGTCATTTAAACCTCTAGAGACCTCAGAGCAGAAGTTCTTTGATGTAGTTGTTGTTCAGAACTCTTACAAATCACGTAATCAATTTTTTTGTTTGCTGTTTATGAAATTTTCCTATAATTAAATATTTTGATTAATAGGTGCAGGTTTCTGAGAGAAGAAAAGGGACAAGAATTTATAAATAATGTTCACTTAAGAGGTGGATGCAACAATTCCACGGTAAGAGCCTTGCTTATGAACCAAATACTGTTTTGTGAAAATGGAAGAAAAATCTTAATTACATATTATTGTAATTGTACATATAATTGTAGTATGAAACTTTGTTATCATCTCTTACCAACTGGCTATCATAGATCATACTGACATAAAGCAGAAGACACTGTATGTTTTGATCCATTTATGCAGGAGTTACAGATCTTACAATCCTCCTTAGCAGAATTTGGACGAGAATTACAGTACTGTGTGTATGTTGTGATAGGTACTGAGGAAATGGTATTTTCTGTAGCATGGAACCAAAGGTTTGCAATAGATAATTTCCTTATTTGAGTGTGGTAGATAATTTTGATTTCCAGTTGATAGTAAGAACATTGCTAAATTGTATGGAATCACTAAAGAAAAAAAAACCTGTTATTTTAGACTTCTTTGATAAGCAAAGAACTGTATACTTATTATTTATAACCATGATGGTTTAAAAATAGAATTTAAATAAAACAATAAAAGGACAGATAACAAAACACTGACCCCTTTTGAATCAACTAATAATAGCATACAGTTTTACTCAATGAAGTAGCTATTTTCTGTCTTTGCAAGTGTGTAGCTTTCCTTCTTGTGCTCTCTGGAGTTGTAATTTTGTCTATTTCTATTTATTTTTTTAGATAGAAGCTGCTGAATTTACAATTCTTCCTAAAGGTATCCATTTAAAAGAAATATATATCTTTACTATCCATATTTGCATGGATAGCAAAGAAAATGAGTAGTTTCAAAGATGACTATTTTACATTTTTTAAGTAAATAGTGGCAGATAAATTGTTGAATGATGCTCTTAGATTTCTTTGTTGCTTCTCAACAACGGTGATTTTATTTCTGTTAGGGGAAACCTAGTGTTACATGATTAAATAAATACTATAAAGTAAAGCCTGTAAACCATGAAGTACCTGTATTACGCATACTTACCTTCATAGCTAGTGAGCATCAAGTACTGGGATGAATACTAAAGAAAACTGACATAAAATAATTGTTGCTTTTCGTGAGGGAGGAGGAGCTCATCTGCTAAATAGCAGTAAGATGAGAAAGCTCAAATAGCTTCTTCTGTTCCACTACTACAGATTCCTGCAACATTTCTCATAAATATGAAACCATAAAACAGGTCATTTAAAGGGAAAGCAGGAAGACAGTGAAGCAGCTTCATCATAGGGAATGATGACTGTTGCTAATACAGGTGTTCACACAAAACCTGTTTTAGAAATTTCTCAATCGATGGTTATGAATAAGAGAATTAGGTTAGCAGGTTTAGTGCTTTGAACAATTTCATGAAGTAATGAAGAAATCGGTTGCATCCCATCAAAACAACGGGAAAGAAGTCATCTGACTGGCAAACCTATTCAAAAGAGGGAGGAAGATTGTGAAAGCTAGTATTGAAGGAATCTCAAATTTGCAGCTTTCTGCATTTTTACAATGTAGTTTTTTACAACTAGCAAAATTCTCAAATGTTGTTTCCTTGGCTAAATACTGTAGAGATGTCGTACACTATAGTGAGTACTGTCAGGTATTCAAGTTGATTCTGGTTAAATTATTTTTTATTTTTCCTTTCTTTTGTTTTAGATGATCTCGTACAAAATAGTTTGGTACAAAATGCCGTACACATGGGTTTCAGCTTCTCTGAGATAAGGAACATAATGGAAAAGAAAGTGCAAGTGTCTGGAGAAAATTATACGTCTGTTGAGGATCTAGTAGCAGACTTAATAAGCGCTCAGAAAGAAAATAAAGCAGAAGAATCAAATGAAAGATCACTAGAGAAAGGTGAACTTCTTAAATTACAAAACCTGCATGCATTCTTTCATAACAGCTCTATATTCTGTAAAATATATCCTGTAGTTATATTTCTATTCTGCGTCAATGCTTAATGTGAATTTACAATATTGTAACATAAAACTCAATAAAGTAGTTAATACTTGAGCTTAGCATTTACAAGTATTTGTTCTACTACAAAATAAGACTATTAGTTCAATATCAGTTTTATAGTTAGTACAACATGTTTCTTGGAATAGTTAGTCATATTTAAAAGTCATAATTTTTGTGGCAATTGCATTTTGTGTTTAAAAAAAAATGAACTACAGGTATGGAACTCTGGGGACAAAGTAAAATAGGCTTAATAGCATGCTGCCAAATACTCAGTATGCATAACTTGAAAATACATATGAAACATGAAAAACACGATACCCTTGGCTAAGATGCAATACACCCCTGCTAGAAGCATTTTCATTCTTAGCCAGTAAGAAATAATGCACTTATAGGTGGTGTTTCTTCTGGACTCCTTGTATTCCAGCCATGCTAGAATACACAAGTCATGCTCTTTGTGGTACTAATGTTGCAAACAAAGATTTCTGATTCAGAAGAATTATAGTTCAAGATGCACATATGGGTGAGGGAGGGAACAAACCATCTGTTTGATACGTTAGACACATCTTACCAGCCTACTCCCTTGTAAGATGATTTTAATGGACACAGGGTGGGGGGGAAGTTTGAACAAGATAGGAGCTATTTTTGTGGCTGTCTGTTGAGAGCTTTTCCTAAGGGGGAAGGGAAGCCTTTGGAGGTATGTGTTTTCAGGTACACCATACTAGAATAATACAGAGCTAATAGATAATGCAAAGTTGGTTCTTTCTGTTTTTACATTTTTAAGCCCTTTAAGTATGACCTTTAGAAAATAAAAGCATAGAAGGAAATTGCATGGAAGGTAATTCAGTGAGAAAACTCGTTGCAAAGGTGAAATACAAATTATTTAAGCAGTATCAATGAGCTTTTCTCTCTCCCTCTGTATAAGTTTTGGGAAAGCTGATGGTGGGAAATCTCTGCACCTTAGTTTCTTGTATTCATTTTGTTTTTAAAGGACATTCAAATCTTGCAAAGAAAGCCTAGTGTTTGTGTGAGGAGGAAAAAAAAAGAGATTAGATGCTATGATAAAGTATGTTAACTCCTTTCTATGTGCTTATTTTCCTTAGATCTCAGTACTGAGGAGAAGCTGAGGCGTTTGCAGGAAGAAAAGCTTTGTAAAATCTGCATGGCTAAAGACATATCAGTAGTCCTTATTCCCTGTGGTCATCTAGTTGCTTGTAAGGAATGTGCTGAAGCAGTTGATAAATGCCCTTTATGTTGTACAAATATTATAAAAAGACAGAAAATTTTTATGTATTAGTCAAATAGACAGTACTGAAAATGGAAATGTCCCCTGCTCTATTTCTTTAAATATGTGTAATGCTATAGCAGACTGTTGAGTGTTCAGCAGTCTAGCACACACATTTACAGAGCATCTCGCTTTAGGTAATGTAAACAATCAAGCTTAAATCAGCATCCTGAAATCTGAGCTGACAGTCAGAAGCTGCTAGATTTTTGTTTACAGTACCCATATTCAACTGACTCCTTGTTGCTCCCTATTTTGCTGTGTTTTTAAGTCATCTGAATCTGAAGTTGTAACCTAAAATAACATGTACTGTACTCTCAGATTTCCTATTTTTGAGTTCTTACACTTGTGTTAATGTACTACAAAAAATACAGGAATTAAAAAATATATATATACTTTTTTTTCATAAAATGGCAAGGGAAAAATGAGTGTTCTGATTAAGTAGTAGCTAGGCTACACAGCTTGCTTGACTAACAGTTTTATATTGCAATCTCTTTATAGGCTGTGTTTCTATTCATAGTCATTTGTTCAGCTTTGATTTACCAAAAATTAAATATGTTAACTTTTTCTTTTTTGTGGAGGCAAGAATGAGAACATTTCTCACTAATTCATTTAAGATGCTAGTTAAAATATCCTATTAGATGGAAATACATCTTAGTCCCTGTTAGTCCAGAGTTACGGGTTACTGATTTTCTATTAATATTCTTTTCTCTTGCTCATCTTAAGAGTCGTGTTTCTGGAACATGGGTAGGAGACTTGCTATACTGAATTCTGTTCTCCCAGCTAAGATTGCCTGAGTGTGATATTTCCTAGATCTTTATTTGTCATTTGTATTTGTGCTTGTAAACATCTATAACCAGCCTCCAAATAATCACTAACAACCAGGCTAAACAAACATGAGCAACAAAGAAAGAAGTAACTGTAGTCCTGATATCTGTCTTTCTGGATTGACAAGTAAGCAACACCCTCTTAATTAATAGACACCTTCCAAACTAAAACTTTTTTTAAAAAAAAAAATCATAATTGCCTCTATATAGTTATGATTAACAAAAGAAAAGAACTTTCAATTGATGCACGTCATCATATAAATCAGAACACTCATACCTAAGTTCATTTTTTTTGTTCTGCCTGTAAATGTTAAAAATGCAGATAATTCCAGATGTAATCATATGGTGTTATTTAGATTTTTCCGTTATCAAGCTCTACATATACTTGAACATTTTTAGGTATTTTCTTGAGTTTTTGTAAGTAAAAATTGATAATAGAAGGCAAGTATCTTCTGTAAGTTCATTTCATGGGCCTGATTTGTCCAAGCCCAAATAATGCAAAGCTATACTTCTGTGCTTGTTCCTTCACTTGTGTACAGGATCAGGCATTATATAAAACTTTTATATGCTACTTGTAGATTCACCTACATATTTACATGTATATAGTATAAGAGGTATTAGCTTCACAAAAATATTATGTATGACTGAAAATGTTACCATGTTTCTTTACTTTTGGTTGTGACATAATTCAGAGAATATGTGTAAAAACAACTGATGAAAACTTCAGCTCATGTGTTTGTTCATGTTACTCTGCAAGTTTTTTTCTGCCTCCCCATTTAATTTGCTGGCTTAATCTGTGTAAATCGGCTTCAGTGAAGTATTTTTTAACCTTCATTTTTTTTACAGAAGTCCATGTGTACATGGAATGAATCTTAATCTAACTTTTTAAAGAAAAGCTCAGCAGAAGTGAAGGAGACTTATGTACCTTTTTGCCTTTGATCACAAAAGCAGCTGTCTCAGATTTAATTCTCCATAAACATCAAACTGTGTTTATTGTTTGGTTTTTTTTTCTTATATTTGCAGGGTTTAACATTTTCCTAGTTCATTTTTTTCTGCTAGTAACTTGTGGTGTTTCTGTATTTTTTCATTGTTCTTGTTTTTTGTTTTGTTTTTCCACTGTTGATTCTTTTTTTTCAGAAGAGAATACCAAGCTCTTCACTAAAATCCTTTCTTTCTCTTTAGTTCACAGTTCATTTTAGAAATCATTTGTTTTGTTCTTGACAGTCTGTGCTCTCAGATTACATTATTTAACTTAAAGCTAACTATTTTAGTTATTCTCACCTCAAGACTTAATAAAATATATTATACTAGACTAATCTTGCATCCCCTAATTAAAAGTTATCATATTTTTGTTTAAGTACAGCTGGTTTATGATCACTCTGCTCAATTATGTGACTTTGGTGTAGCTACTACTAATGCCTGTTTTATGTATATAAAAATTATCTTGGATACACACTAAATATATTTTAATGATACTTGATACAAAAATATAGTTTTTCACATGATGAAACCTTGAAATGCAATATACAGAAATTTAATGTCTATTTTTTTAATGTGTTATGATTTTTATGAGCATTCACAGAACTGACATGTTATTGTGCTCTTCTGCAAAGTTGTATTTATAATAAAAGTGCAATCCATCTCTTCCTTGAACACATTTGATTCTCATGTGCAAGAAAAAAAAGTTGCTTTCTGTTGCATTTTGGTTGTGTAATTCAACTGTTAAGTGATTTTAAATGTATATTAATAAAGGCAATAGATATATTTTAAATTGAGAAGAAATAAAATCTGTGGTCTGTATGAATTAAAATTCTGCTTATGTTATTTTTGATAGCTTTTGTAGTGGGTAGAGTTTGGTTCTTGGGAAGAGGTAACGTCTTGGATTGGGTAAGTAATTATCACTTTCATTTGTTTTCCATTTCTGGAAAATAGTAGATTTTTCTCTATCCTATTCTGATAAGAAGAGTTGCTATTTTTGCCTTTATCTGCCTTTGCAAAGATTTTTTCTTTTTTTTTTTTTTTTTTTTTTTTTGGCGGGGGGAGGCAGAGAGGAGAAGGGAGATGGATACAGTCTAGCTGTTAGGTCAGGTTTGTTTCTAGCTCCCATCTTCACTGGTGGGCAGAGCTTTCCTGAATTTTCAAGGGAAATCAGAGGGTTGAGTTGCACATGAGCTAGTAAATCCTGTCTGAAGTAGCTTGTTGATGTTGCCTGACAGCACTACCATGGGCAAGCCAAGTTATGCTGGCTTACTTTAGCAGTCACTTTGCTACCCAACCCTGATCTGAGTTTCATGAGAGACTGTCGAGATGGGTTTGAGCTAACTTACAGACTGAAAAACTTGGAATGAATGCTAGAAAAAGTCTAATCTGGGAAAGCAGTTTTGCAAATTGTGTTTCAATTAAACTAAATCCTAGGAAGGAGGTGATTACAGATGTAGATAAAGTATGTAAGCAGATTGAGAAAACCATGTAAATAGGAAATAGGTTGCTAGCAGTACCATCTCACCTGAAATAAAGCAAATTACCCAAATAATATCTAAGTACATTGCATAAAATCCTTCATATTAAAGCTGTTAGTCCTAACTTTTAAAAACTCTACTGAATGGCTGAGTTTATCATAATCTTTAGATAAATGTTATTGAACATAATAATAGTGCTTCAAGTTTTAATCGTTCTTAGGAATATTGAAGGGTTAAGAGTCAGTTAAACTATGGGGCAGTTACTTTGTCTATCTTTTAAATTATAATCAGAGTTGTATTCAGGCTGCATGTGAAAAAATTAGCATAGTCTTCAAATTGTCAGCAGCTTGAATTTGGGCTTTTTTTTCCCAAGTGTTGTCATTACCAGTGTCTTTAACAGAGAAGAAATTTCATGGTGATTGCTACTGAGCTGGTTACTTAAAGAGGGAGAAATGGGGAGTGCAAATAAGTGGAATAGAAGCACAGATTCTTTCTACTGACTGTCTTTTCAAAGATGTCTGAAAGTTAATTTTATAAAAGTGGTATTTAGAATGAAGAGCTATAGAATATATTCAGTCATTGGTATCAGCACGTACATATTCAAGCATTCAGTAGAAGTTTTGTGTGTGTGTGTGTGTGTGTGTGTGTGTGTGTTTGTTGTGTTGGCCTCAAGTAAAATGGTTCTTATTTCCTTTCTATTGACAGTGACAGAACTCTTTGCTGCTATAGATAGCTAGGAACTTCACATTGGTGTTTTTGATAATATATTTTGGAGTTTTTCTTGGAATTTCTCATTTTAGAAAACATGGACATAGTGTGCCTAGCATAAGAACAGTGCTTTGAAACGTGGGGCTTGACAAGTAATATAGACCAGTTCCACAGAATGCTGGAGCCTGTAAGAAGAGCTCTCCAAATACTTAACTGTACCTGTTCTTTCATTTGTTTTGGGCTTGATCCAAAGCCCTTTGCATAGTGAAGAGATTTTTACTGATTATGGATTTTTTTTCTCTTTGGATCACCTTCCCTTTGTAAGTAGAATGTTAAAACTTTTTCTTTATATTGTATGATTAGTTATGATCATCATGCGTGACCAAATATTTTTGGTTTGTTTTTTCTTTTGGCTGTTATGTGTAGCCCGCAGTTATAGGACAAATGCTTGGTCAAAGTTTTCAAAGCATTTTTGTTAAAGGCACATGTCCTAGGTTAAAGTTAGCTTTTATTTTCGTTCTTATTCAAATGAAGCCAAGTTGAAATATAATAGGCTCTTAAATATATAGCTGGGTGGGAAGTTAATGCAGACATTTGATTACGTTCTTGCATGAAATTTCATGCTGAAGTGAAGCATTTTGTACTAGTAATAAACTTTGCAAGGAGCAGTGAAATTTGCTGCCATAATAATTGCCCTAGTACAGTGAATAGCTACCCAGAAGAGAATTTGCTCTGCTTTCCACGCTTACAAGGTCACATATATTGTGTATACAGTCTACCTGAATGGAAGGTGAATCCTTTATAGAGGAAGGAAGGATTTGGATGTTTTTCTGTCTCTCACAATACTTCCCTGAAGAGATCAGTACATGAACAGAGAGAGGTTGGATGGTGCTTCTCTTGCCCTCTGCTTTGCCTGTCAGCCAGCCTGGTGAGAAGGCTGGATGCCAAAGTGGGTGATAGGAGTCACTTCCATGGCTGCACCCCAGGCTTCTTGGCCACCTGGCTGGACTGTGTTTCACTCTTGCACCTGTTTGGTGAAGGGTGGCTTCCTTCCTCGTGTAGCTGAGTGGGAAGAACCTGTCCAGTGTGATCAGCTTTTTTTTTTCATTGACTTGTTTGCAAATTCCATATTCTTTCCTCTTTCATGGCCCTGTCCTGCTTTCACACTACTTTAGGTAGCTGAAAATATCTCAGTATCTTCATGAATGTCATGGTGTCATGTTCCTTCAAAAGAGATGTACTAATACTGCTGTGCAAAGCTACTGAAGATGGCAGAGAAAAAATGCATCCTAAATGAAAATTCCTAGAAATGTACTTAAGAGGTATTTCAATTAGGATTTTGCTCATAGATTGCAAAGTGAAGCTTACTACTGAAAAATAGAAAAGACTTTTGCAGAGGCCTACTGTGTAAACATCTAGGAGAATAATTACAATAATTATTGCAAAGTCAGGGTAACTAGAACTGTATATGGCTGTGTGCAAATTTTGGAGAATTCATTTAAATTCAAGAAGTTCTCAAGGCAGAAAGCATTTAAAAATATTCATATGTCTTTTTAATCTTATGAAGTTAATCTCTGCAAAAATCTGAACTTTTCACTCTTGCACAATGTAGTGAGATTCATCACTTAGGCCAAATAGTTAATATGAACTTTTTGAAAGTGAAAGTCAACCTACAGTAGTCTCTTCCTTTTAACTCTTGCATAAGAAGTGTAGTTTCCGAGTCTAGAGTTGACTTTGGCATCCTTGTGACATTAGGACATACACCCTTGTGCAGTCAGTATGGGAACTCCATTGATCTAAAAAACTCTATTGCTTCCAATGTCTTTTATGGTCCATTGCAGAATATGATGTATGGAGAGTAACATTAACCTGACCTAAGTTTGTACAACATAATTTAGCCCTTTTATAAGTTCATAAATAAGTTTGTGCTTAATCAGCAATTGCAAATTTTTGTAATGAGGACTCCTGCTTCAAGCTGGAAGCCTCACTTCTGTTGGGCTTGTGTAAGATACAAATAGTCGACATAAAACT